GATGGATGGATGGATGGATGGATGGATGGATGGATGGATGGATGGATAATTACTACATATATACACATCATATGCCATAATATGTATAGGGACATGTTGCTGTCAAGGAGTCTTATTGAACATCTGGTTACCGATCTGCAACTCATGCTGTTGTGATCAAGGAACTCCCAAGATGCTGACTGGAGTGGCCCTACCAGGCAACCAAGCGAGGATGAGCGCTTCGGAACGTTTCCTGGCACTGACAGCTGCAACATGCTTCAACTGTTCTAGGGCGTTTTGCGTGAACAGTTCATTCGTTCTGCACACCATTGAGAATTCTTCAGAGACCCTGTCCAGGTGTTCGACCACGATCACTTTCAATGCGTTTGCCGCCATTGCCTCTGGAGGGTGTTGACCTGAGCCAAGGGGTGTGTCACTTGGCTAGGCCATTGACGACATCCGCTGCACAAATACATCTGGAAAAGCCTTGATGGCTTTCGGAGCGGCATCGATGGGTTCACCGCAACCTGGATTCTCAGGGAACTTCAAACAAAGGATTGTCCAATCCGGTGTTTTTGCAAAAACAGCTTTTCTCAAATCTTCCACAATGAGCTTTGCAAAAACAGTCCATCTAAGGTTTGTTGAGTCTAATTGTCTCAAAAGGTGGCGTCCACATAGCCTTGGCCTCTGCTGCTATCGTATGCTGAGACACCTAAGCGTGTCCCTCAAAGGCCAAAAGAATCAAAGAAAGAAAGAAAGAAAGAACAAAGCAGGCTTTGTCTGTATGAGTTTAGCTTCCTCACGTTTCACAAGCAGCAATTTGTACGTGCATTCAAGTTCCTTGCTTGACCACTTTCATCTCCTGAGTCAGTTTCAAAACGCACACCTTTGCGGCTGCAGCTCGTGAGGAAGCTGGGCTGGTGGCCAGTTAATGGAAGTTCCTGCCAATGCAAGTGCAGGCAACTCTTGTGATACCTGTAGAGGGATACTACTAGCACGCCCTTCTGATCTTCTGTGAGTTCGAGAGGCTCTCGCCTGCAGAGCAGAAACTGCAGCTGCACCGCCATCGTGTGGCCTCCCTGACCTGGCCAGCAGAGTCTGATCGTACAACTGATTGCTGGAAATAAGCAATGTGGGCTGTGGACACCTATCAGGTTCAAGGATGTCGTCATCACCAGGGCTATCACACCTCACACTGGGGTGTCCAATGCCAGGCATAGCCTTTAATTACTGGTCTTCGGATGCATGTTTTAGTTTGCTGGCATGAAATCCAAAAGAAAAAGCAAAGGAGAAGACATGACTCCTTCGCCAGCACTGTTTGCTTCAGAGTCATGGGAAGTCTCTGATTGGTACCAGTCCTTGGCTCCGCTGGGGTTGTACTACTTACCACTCACATTCCTCGCAAAAATGCGCCAAGTCGCATCCCGACTTGCACAAATCTCGGCCTCTGCCCTGAAGGCGATTGAATAACAAAACGACCCTAAGTCGGGAAGGCTTATTATTCCAAACTTGCAGGGACCTAGCCTATTCATTTGAATGCTGTGTACTTATATAACTTATCAGATTATCAGGCAGGATTGATGCCAGAAAGAATGCAAATGAGAGTGCTGCTTGACCCGCCTACTTGGGATATATAATGGTGCACACATATCAAGAAAGTGCTGTCAGACTGATCATCAGTGCACCTCTTTTTGTCTCCATTACAAATGTTGATCAAATTTGTCAAGGTGACACCACAAAAACCGGCAGGAAGCTAAGATGACCAGTTATCCCGCACATGAAGCCCACGCCACGCCGTCATTCCTCATCCCGGCCCCAAGACATCGCAGAAGGCAATCGTGGTAATCCCTGCAACCCCCAAAACTCGTCAGGCCAACAAACCTCGCGTACAGTAGTAATCCTGCAAATGCCTCCGATCCTCCAAACGCCTCCAACCCCCTAATAGCAATGGCCTACAACCTACTAGCGATGGCCTCCAACCTACTGTAAAATCTCTGGTTCTCCCTAAACCGCCGCATTTGTTCATGGCTTGTGAACTCTGTTCTATGCCTCTATCTCTAGACGCACCTGCCAACAGGAAAACTAGAGGCCTTCGTGACTGATGGGTGGGGCTTGGAGATGTGGTTCATAGAACACAAACAACTTTCAGACTCTTCTAGAACCAAATCCGTACCCCTCTTTGCTTAACCAAAACCTCCGTCCCTCTCTTCTATTTGTCTCCGGGCACGCACTTCTCCCTATCGAACCTCTCCTTCTTATGGACATTCGACCCTCTGTAAACAAGCACCTCTCTATCCAATTCATTAGTCTGGTTTGAATCTCTCCTTCTTAAACACTCCTCAGTTTCTGGATGAACTGTTTCCGGACAAGCACCTCTGTCTCCTTAATGGACTCTCTCGTTCTGAAAGATTCTTGTGTGTTTTAACAAGCACACCTTGCTCTTCTCAATCGATTCTCTCCCTTTTAGAGGCTTAGACCCTTCAGAAACTTAGATGTGTTTAGCAGTTTTTTGGCGCATTTGGAGGGTTCGTTTGATGCACTTGAGCTCTTTGGAGGCTTAGGTGTTTGACTGGCTCAAGTTCTATATGTACATGTCGACATTATACATATGTGTTTGTGACCCCTTCTGCTTGTTGGAATGAAAAATGCAAGCTTAGACCACTACAGGGGGCACTACATATTAAGACTGCGAGGTGAGTGAATTACAATGTGGGTCCAGTGCCAAAACAATGGGATCTGGACCCCACGCCTCCCCAGGTAGCACGCCTGTCAAACACTTTAAACTCTAACCAGGAGCGCGCCAAAATTAGAGCACCTGCTCAAAGGCAGTGTTTGCTGTGTACCCCCACTCCTTGAACGCAGTCTTTGCAGGAGGGAGGCGGTTCCCCACGCCCCACAGCACGCTTGATTTATGTCATGTGACAATGCTTGCGTATTTCCAACCATGTTCGCCACGCAGAACATTGTCAGGTGCGCCCGAAGGTGTGTCAGCATGGCCCACTGCTCACCACACAAAACATCCCCGCATTACACTTCACCACCATCACCGCGCATCACACCATCGCTGATAGGAGCTTACAATATATTTGTATATATACACATAGAGAGAGAGGCGTATAGTAGATAGAATATCTTACTCTCCAACCAAAGCCAAAACATAGATAGAAATGGGTTTTAGCGAATGATTGTTTTCAAAATAATGTGACCTCAATCTCTGCCTAAGATAGTAAAGTCAGCTTTAGTCACATATATTCTATAAATATTCTATCTATGGGTGTCACCAACCGCCGAGCGCTCACCTTTCCCGCTTTTCCTTCCCCATGTTGTGTAATGGTTCACTGTACGACGTCTTTAAGATTTGTCGGCTGCTTTTCATCTAACAGATGCATAAAAGCAATTGAATATTGAACAATATTCGATCTATGGGGCGGTCTTTCATGTTTAATCTTCGTGTCCAAAACCCCCTGTTTCTTGAAGAAAACAATTACCCCCTGTCAATTCCGGATTCTATCTACTCCAGGATTGCTATATATCCTTGAAACATACCCCCGACAACAGTTCCTGGTATGCTCCAGCAACAGGAATTGAACATTCAACACATAGTTCCAGAATGTTCCAAAACTACTCAACGCACGAACACAAAGCATGACAAAAAAACATGGATTCGACGACGGAGGGAAGCCTGCTACACTGAGTATATAGTTTGTGTCAACGAGCTCTGCTTTCATCTGCACTTTCGACCATGATACTGCTGAGTTGATAACTTCTATATGTCGTTGGTATTTGCAACAAATGGGGTATCCCCAATGGATTCAAAGGGTTGTGTCCATCTGTATGACAAGGCTCTGGCCTCTGAAAATCTGCAACTTCAGAAGGGCAAGCTGCCTCCCACTCTGTGAAAAGCTTGCTGGGCCTGTCTAGGAGCAAGTCACTTGAGGAAAGGACAATACATGAAGCACTTTTTGACAGAAAGAAATACTCGTGCAGTAGTAGAGAGTTGAAGTGCCTCACACCTGTTCCATCGCTGATGCTGCCAGGCCTCAGAATCCATCCTACTCCGTGTCCACTCTTTGCAAAAAACAAATTCCTCGAATGAAGCCCATCAAAGTGAGACAAGACTGATCAAATGACTTCGGGATACCGAATACTTGTGATGTTCAGTGGCATTACTCCAGGGAGTTTACGCAATCTGCAATTCGAGTGCCAATGCTGCTTTGACGATCTCTCCTGAAAGCTGATCACGAAGCAAAGAAGCAAAGGAATCCAGAAGCAATCTCAAAGTGGTGCTCAGCACGCTTCCAAACTGCTCTTATTTCGATTGACTTGCCTCCTGCAAGCGGCTCTCCAGCGCGCATGCTCATCATATCTAGAATACCTTCCGTGTCTTCTTGGAGAATCCTTAGAAGCCAGTTCAAGAATATCTAGCATGTGAGTCAGAAAACACCTTTACTTTGCTCACCTGGATCTCCGCAGCTTGACAATTGCCAAAGCAATGAGAACCACCGCCTGGCTTCGCACATCACACATCGGCATGCTTCACTGTGGAAATGTGCGATCTTCCACCTTCTGGCTGTTACATCAGCGTAGCTGTTACTGAATCAGCCTTGCTAAATTCCTCGGCCCCCTAGGGGCCCTAGCTCTAATCAGCTCACGGCAACTCTTGCCTGTAGCCCGTCGCAAACAATGAGATCCCAAACGCCTAGAGCTTGAATGATGGTTCCAAACAACAATCCAACATGGTTCCAAGTATGGAGAAGTTGGCTCCAAACGCGCTGCTGATGAGAAGCTCAAAGGCTGTGTGAAAATAGTCAAAATCCACCTGAAAGGCGTGCTCTGTGAAGGCTGTTGTTCACTCCAAGGAGGTAAAGCTAAAACAAAAACATGCTTCTTGCTCCTAGTAGCGATGCCAGGAGCCCCTAGTAGCTTCAAAAACAAATGCCACACAAAATCCACTCACTGCTCCACCGTCCCGCTCCCCTTCACAGCAGCGGAACTTGTTTTTGTCTGAGCGGAGCGACTCTGCAGTTTTTGTTCTAAGCATTGCAAGCAATTCCTGGATGGCCACAGCACATGTTTGAAATTGTTGGCATTGTCCAGTGTCTCTGAACATTGGTTCCATGAGTTTACAACTTGTGCTGTGCTAAAATACACAATAGGACGGGAGTCTGGTAACTCAACGCCAAGTTCCACAGATTTGTGGCTACGAAAGGTCCGTCGGGCGCAATCTTTGCGATCGAACATCAAATCGACTTTATCCTTCAGGCCGCACCTGGGTTGAAGAAGCAAACCAGTAACCAGTATTCATCCGAAATGCAAACGCGGTGCCTATGTGACTATTATATAAAGCCCGTCAAGGTTCCGTAGCATGCCACTGGCCCACAAAAGCTTCCACGCAATGGCAAAGGAAGTGAAGAGTCTGTCACGTCAATGTTCACCTCGAGTACACCCACAAAATCATGTGTCCAACAAAACCATCCACCCATGCACCTTCGGCTGATTGTCCATCCATGAGTGGAGAGCTTGGAAGACCTGCTTTGTGCTAGACACGTCTAAATTCAATCACTGAGGCAGGGTTGGTGTCTTGCAAGTGCAAAGCGTCAGGCCTGCCGGTTATTTGACATTATCAAAGGAAAGTTCTGATCGCTCATCTGAGCTGCGAAAGCAGCAGTGTCAGCCTCGCAGTAAATCACAAGGAAATATATTCACATGTCTTGCAAAAGGGACAATATAGTCATTGCAAGCATCTGCAGGCCTCTATTTGAGTCACATATTGCAAGGTTCCAGCATCCAACTTGGGCCCGGCTGCCTCAAAGCGTAGGAAACTAAACATACTAAACATCTGGCTTCTGCCTGCTATTTGGGCCTTTTTGAGGGCTTTAATGGCAAACTGCCAAGTATTGACGGCTTTTGCCATGTCAGGGCAAGAATCGGATAGCCCGGCCTCAGTTTGGCGAAGCAAACACCTAAATGAATCAAAAGCACGACGCATGCTTCTTGCTGCCAAAGCGACGTCACAACGTGTAAGCAATTCACCAGTCTTCAAGGCCTTGACCGTTTGGATTGGCTTGGTGTTTCTGGTCAAGCCGGAGTTACCAGAACCTGGCCTTTGGTTCCTTTAGCACACAGCTGCACAAACAAAACACCTCACCTGGAACGCTTCGGGAATTGCAGATGGGGCACATCCTTTGCTACCTCGACAATTTGTTGCCGGAATGATACAAAATCGACAGCCCGCCGACAAACAAGCCAATGTGTTCTGCAGTCTGCTACCCAAATTTGATACATGTTACGACCTTTGACCTAAAGCCTTTAATGCTATTCCACCTTTGACTCGATGTTATTTGTAAGGCAATTTACGAGTCATTTGTATACCCTCCCAGCTGCTTTCTTGGCCCTCTTCCAGGGCATATATTTTTTCTGACTCTAACGGCATGGTGTGGAGGAAGCTGCAACAACTTCTTGTAGCGAACTCAGCACATCAAGTGTTTCAGTGAAACTTGTCCGTCGGGGATTGGCTCGCAGCGAAACTTGAAGTGAGTGGGAGTGACGTCAACTGAGAGCAAGGAGACGTCACAAATGAAGAAAATACGTCCACCTCTTCTGGACACCCAAGTTCAGACTGTGGCTCGCTGCAACAAAGAACCTGAAAAAAACTCACGAAAACCAACAAGCTTCAGTAGCTTTGACGACTGGACTCCATAATAGGACCAAATGAGGAGAAAGATGAGCAGCTCAGGCAATGAACAAATTGATGAGGCAAGGAGAGAAAGTGAGAGGCTCGAGAATCGAGAAGCCCCTGAGGAGGCAAAACAAACCAGATGGAGCATGAGGAGAGCTGCTACATACACCCTAGTGGACCTGTCACCTGAGAGATCAAACAACAGTGAGGGCAGTGTTACCAGGTGAGGGGGTCCAAACCTTGCATGGCTTCCTTGCTTCTCTCCTACACTTGTGACAGCAGTCGCCTGGAGTAAAGCTTAGCTCGTCAATCTGCCTCCAGGATCTTCAATCATCGCCTGTCCCTTGCATCCAGATTGTTGTTCATGAGCCTACGAATGTTTGAGACCCTTGTATCCTCTGTTGAAGAGGGCAGAGCACTTCACTTGCATGATCGCATGTGCATCCCTGCTCTCTCACTTCTCATTTTGTGAGGCAGTGTTGTTCATTGCCTGTCTTTACTTGGAGCAGTATCCAAACTGTACAACTCCCAACGCAGGTACATAAACACAACTTGCACTATCTACTAGACTATACACCTACTCAGCATCTGGACATTCCCAAACCCCTGCTTGAATGCAATCCTGCCTGCTAACCAGCCCTCAAGGGTCTCTCGCCCACCATCAGATTTTCTAAAGAAACACTTCTTGGCACCTCATTCGGATGTCGTAAGCAAACCGGAAAATCAATCACTACTAACTACAACTCTTCACATATTTGGACTTGCTTTTAAGTTTGCTTGTTGAGAGCCTTTTCTGCGCATGAATCAATTGCTTAGTGTCACACCATCCTGTTCTCCAAACCTGTCAGAATTGCCAGGCTGACTTCTGCCATGAGCAGTTTGCTTGTACTTGGGACAATTTTTGCTATCAGCGCATGGAATAAAGGCCGAGTGGCGTCCAATAAGTACACTCAGGTAGCTCAGCGCAGGTCCGTGCACAAAGAGCTGCTGTGTCAGCAATGAACTTGTCAGAATTTTTGCAGTCATTCTGCCAGCAACCTCAAACGCAAAATTTGCTAGTCACATGGTTTGTTTGTCATGTTTGATACATGATTTAGTTGTTTTCCCCTGCCTGCTGCACCATGAGTACTGACATCAGCGAAGATTGCCTATAGACAGCAAGTTTGAGTGATATCCAGCGAGGCCGTTTCAAACGTTACTTTTGGTTTTTTAGAGACTAGCGGCATGGGCTCCAGCATGCCGAAGGACAACACTTGGCTGAACACAGGCTGGAAATCCAGCTGTTTCAGATACACTTCCAGCGCAAGCACAGGCAAGTCCTGACTTCTCGATTACATTATGCAAATGTTCACGTGTCGTGAAAATGTTCAAGCCATGTTTTGTTCTAGTGCAACTGAGTTCGGTGCGGCAAATGCTGACCTTGGCAAACCACTCAGAACAACACCCCCACACCTACGCACGCAAACAGTTCGACACCGGCCGACACCACCAAAAACAAATAAACGAGTGAAATGTGTTTGCTTCGAATATTTTCGAAAAACAAAACACCTGACACTGACATGGCATGATTAAATCAATGGTGATCCTTCCTGTGATCATCTTTTTGGCACTATATAATGTTGCTGGAGACATACAGAAGCGGAGCGGCAACGAGCAAGCAAGGCCTAGAGAGTAAGTTCCATTCAGAATTTCAGAGGTGGGCACAGCAACTGATTGTGGCAAAGCGGCCCTCATTCCGGAAACTTGATTTGTCGGTGGGGGCGCAGAAAGGGCCGCGACTTAATTTTGGATGTTTTTTTGTTCCCCAAATAGTGCTCCGCACTAAGGGGTTCTTACGGTAAGAGTTAAGGGCCGGGTTTAGATCAGGGTTCGCGCGTGTGGTTGCGGCATTTTGCGTGGGCCGGCTCGCACAAAAGTTACTTTTTGAATTCCTCATGTCCATTTCGACTGCGCAGGCTCGCATAAAGTGGGTGTCGCGGTTTTCGCGCTTCCGGGACAAAGCTCTCGTGCAGGTGCCGTGCTCGTTTTCGGACATGAAGTGCATTTTGCGTGGCAGGCGCAAGGAAATCGACACATTGGAGCCTCGAAAAGGTCATTTTACGTGGCAGGTGCAAGGAATCGGAGACTTTGCAAATTTCGTGGCAGGCGCAGTGTTTTGTGGACGTTGCAAAAACGTTGGCAGGCGTGTGTCATTCGCAGGACTGCGTTCGCAGGGAATCCGCACGATGGATGCGATATTTTGAGGTGAAACGGCTGAATTCGTGAGAGGGGTCGCATTTTTGGAATTTGAACTTGAGGATGCTTTTGCGTGGCCAGTGCAGCATTTCGTATGACCTGCAGGCATGATTTCGTGGCAGGCACAGCATTTCTGAAACGCATTTCAAAATTTGCGAAAGCCTCGTGCAATTTGCTCGTTTTGGATCTCCGATGTGCAGATTTCGTGGCAGGCGCAGCACTTTGTGAATCTCGATGCGCAGATCTCGTGGCAGGCGCAGCACTTTGTGAATCTCGATGCGCAGATTTCGTGGCAGGCGCAGCACTTTGTGAATCTCGATGCGCAGATTTCGTGGCAGGCAGCAGCACTTTGTGAAGCTCGATGTGCAGATTTCGTGGCAGGCGCAGCACTTTGTCAATCTAGATTCGCAGATTGCGTGGCCGGCGCAGCACTTTGTGAATCTCGATGCGCAGATTTCGTGGCGGGCGCAGCACTGTGTGAATCTAGATGTGCAGATTTCGTGGCAGGCGCAGCACTTGCTGAGTCTGGAAGTGCAGATTTCGTGGCAGGTGCAGCACTTTGTGAATCTCGATGTGCAGATTTCGTAGCAGGCACAGCACTTTGTGAATCTCAATGCGCAGATTTCGTGGCAGGCGCAGTACTTTGTGAACCTCGATGCGCAGATTTCGTGGCAGGCGCGGTACATTGTGAACTTCGAAATGCTCCTATGTACTCGCCTATGTGCTCTCAGATTTGTGCTTGTATGTGCTCTCACATTTGTGCTCTCAGATGTGTGCTCTCATGTGCTCTCATATGTGCTCCCATATGCTCTCATATGTGTGCTCTCATTTGTGCTCGTGAATCTCGATGTGCAGATGTTCTTGAAGGGTTTTGAATTTCAATGAACTTGCCGTTTTGGAAGTTG